AACAGGAATGGCGCAAGGGGCCAGTGGCAGGGGCGGGGGAGGGCACCGATTTCCCCCTGGGCTGGAGATGGAGCCGTGCTCCCTGCCCCGAGAACAGACGCTGAGAAGAGACCATTGTGCCGGGGGCGCCTGTGATTCACTGCGGCAAGGCAGGGGGAGCGCGGGGCGGCTGCTCCCTCTGCAGGGTTGAACAAATGCAGCCAGAAGTCGAGGCACAAAGGGCGGGCTTTGTTAGCAGGACTTACGCTCTGGGGCACGAGGGGCGGTGGCCACGAAGGCCTCCCCAAGCCGGGCTCTGAAGAGGCAGCGCGGGACGTGACAGGAGGGGTCTGTGCCAGTCCAGCGGAGGGTGGGGAGGGCTGCCAGTCAGTACAAGCCGGAGCCGGGAGCAGCCATTGGTGCACCGTGGCCAGGCTGAGAAACTCCCCTCTGGATCTGGGCTGGCCTCGTTCCCTTGTGCCAGGTCCCTTGCGGTGCGCCAGCTGGACTGTTCCCGTGGCAAGAATCGGGCCCTCGCCAGGCGCCGTGCCCTGCGTACACAGCAGTTCAGCGGCCGAGTGGCCTGTGCACCCTGAGTACGGACAAAGGGGGTTTTAAGGGCTATGAACGGCATCTCGCCTGGAGCAAGTTTTCATCGGCAGCGTGTTTCTGACACAGCTGTCTGAGTGCAGCCTGGTGCAGGCACGTTCTGAGCTGGGCCTGCCAGGCTAGGAACTCAGGCAGCTACTGCAAGGGCACTGCTGAGGTCTGTCCTGCTCTTGTGCACAGGAACAGCCTAGGGTGAAAGATACCACGGGTCTAACGCCACGGACTGCAGTGTGGAACACGTGGAACATTCCAACAGCTGGTGCTAGAACCCCAGGCTGCAGCGTGGAACATTCCAACAGCTGGTGCTAGAACCCCAGGCTGCAGCGTGGAACATTCCAACAGCTGGTGCTAGAACCCCAGGCTGCAGCGTGGAACATTCCAACAGCTGGTGCTAGAACCCCAGGGTGCAGCATGGAACATTCCAACGGCTGGTGCTAGAACCCCAGGCTGCAGCACGGAACATTCCAAGAGCTGGTGCTAGAACCCCAGGGTGCAGCGTGGAACATTCCAACGGTTGGTGCTAGAACCCCAGGCTACAGTGGGACATTCCAGTTGTTGGCCCTAGAGCCCACAGCCTGCAGCGCGGAACAGCCTACATGCCGGTGCTGGAGTCAGACTGTGGCTTGCTCCATCCTCGCCGAGCAGACAGCCGAGGGCGCTGAGCAATGAGGAAAGCAGCCGATTTGGCAGGATGGGTGGCACCGGGGAGCGCTAAGATGGGAGCCAAATGGCAGCTCAGCTCTCGCGCTCTCCTGGCAGTGGGACACTGGTGTGTCAGAGACTGTTTCTTGCTAGACACCATAAAAGCACAGGCCCGCGGGCCTTGCCTTCGCCCTCCCTGCCACCTTTCGTAACAGCCCCGCCCTGCGTTCTGCCTTTTCCCCAGCAACGAAGCGTTGGGACCCCTCCCTGCTTCCCGGATACAAGACGAGACACATTTTCTTCACCAGGCATGTCTGGGTGCGGTTCTTGGCTGCACACGGGGAACCAACCAATGGGGAAAATGTTTTTCTCCTCTCCGGAGCGCAGAGACCAGGGTGTGATCCAGCTGGCTGGGCATGCCTGGAAGACAGGAGAGCCTGGGCGCAAAGGGGAGAACAAGCCGGGAACGCTGCTGCTCCCCGGCTCTGGAGAGCGGGCAGGTGCCATGGAGCCGGAGGGAGGGGAGGAACACCTGGATGGAGCCGGAGATGACCCGCGCTCCCGGCCTGGCTCCATGTGTGTTGCTAAGGCAGGTGGCGTTGCTGCACACAGGGCTCCCGGCAAACGTGTGTTTGCTGCGAGGCCGTTGCGTCTGGCTCAGATGGTGCCGTTGCGACACGTTAGTACCTAGAGGCCATGGACCAGTGACGGGAAGCGTTCTAAACGCCCAGAGCGGCTGGATAGCGCAATATTCCTAGGTATTTGCAACATGAGCCCTCGTTGAGGTTGGGGCCCCATTGCGCGAAGCCCCGTATGGACGGGCAGTCAGAGAGTCCTTCCCCTGACAAGTAAGGGCCTGATCCCCAAAGGTATTTATGCACCTAACTCCCATGGGTGTCAGTGAGAGTTAAGTGCATAACACTGTGGTGGGCGACATGCAGCTCGCAGGCTGCATGCGGCCCATCGGGGCTCTGTATGTGGCCCACGAGTCGTTTTGTTACCGTTGCCCATGCGCAGGGTTCATAGAACCATAGAACCGGAAGAGACCTCAGAAGGTCAAGTCCAGCCCCCCGCTCTAGGCAGGACCAATCCCAACTAAATCAACCCGGGTTTCCAGACTCTGCTGGTTTCCATCTGTGTAGTTCTTTTCCCTACCGGTGTTACTAGAGTGACACATGCATAGAGCCAGGGCATGTGAAGAGAGGTGCCAGGGGATTGCCCCCAGCAATGACGGGAAGCGGCGGGTGCTCCCTCAGTAGCCAGGCACAGTGCTGCTCCAGTTCAACCTGCACCCACGGCACATTCTAGGCATACACGCGCAGTGAGCAAAACTGCTGTATCCCGGGAGATCTCTTGGTTACGGCAGTCTTACATCCCACTGAGATGGAGGACGCCACTCGTGCAGCTCTTTCACGAGCCTCGGTTGCCAGTCGCTGGAATCACTGCTTTGAGGAAGTCCAGCTTAAACACACAAGGAAGATGGGTGGTGTGGAAGAAATGGTATTATCCCCATTGTACAGACTGAAAACTGAGGTCCAAAGAGAGGCTGAGGCAGGGTGGGACCTGAACCCCTCTCTGATGCCCACAAGCCCACCCTTCCTATGTAGAGCAAATTGCTGTATCTGCACAAAGCAGTGCCTTCCGGGGCCTGGGTGGCGCCGATCCACCAAACAACCCCAGCAGGCCAGCTACGGCTTCTGCGTCGCAGCGGGCCGAGAGGAGGAACAGCAGAAGGAACATCTCTTGCCTCAGGCTCTGAGCAAGCCAGGGTTCGTCAGCAAAGCTGGGTCAGGCCAGACCAGCCCTACGGCGGGAGATATCGCAGGAGAACAGCTGGCCCCTTGTGACAATCACGCCGGCTGCGGCACGTCTCCTAAACCGGGTTCCGGCCTCGCACCCATGGCACAGCTAGCTGAGCCGTAGGCCTGTTAGTTTAATCCTCTGCCGTTGCAGGATTGCTCCTGACTGTCTTCCAGGGAGTCCGCCTGCCGAGGGATGATAGCTCCAGGGAGGAGCTACAAGGGATCTGTCAAAAACAGCTTTCTCCCTTGACAGATCCCCCTCAAGACGGCCGCTTTCTGCCAACAAAGTACTGAGTCGGCAAAACGTGGCGGCCATTTTTATGCAAATTAGGCACGGGATATTTAAATCCCTGCCTCATTTGCAATGTCGACCTGCCTAATCTGCATCCCTCTGCTGACAGAGGGATGCAGTCTAGACATACCCCTAATGAAATTCATAGGCAGCAGGTTTAAAACAAATTAGAGGATGCATTTCTGCACCCAGCGCACAGTCAACCTGTGGAACTCCCTGCCAGAGGAGGTTGTGAAGAGCAAGAACCCAACAGGGTTAAAAAAAATAGATAAGTTCATAGAGGTTAGGCCCATCAATGGCCAGGACAGAGGGATGCAGTCTAGACATACCCTTGGTGACCCCTAGTTCTAACCCTGAATCAAGGTGTGTTTCAGGTGTGTTAGGGGGTACAGCTGACCGCTTTGAAGACAGTTCAAAAGCTGGCCTTCGCTCCACCCCAGAGGAGGCTGCATTTCAGCGGTGGGTGAACAAGTTTCGGTGTCCATGGTAAACTGCGGTGGCCGTCGAGATCCTTCAGGGCGAACAGTGCTACGTAGCCTGCTCCATGTGCTTGCTAGGAATCGGCAGTGCTTTGCGCGCCGGCAGCTGGCGTCTTCCCTGCATTTAGCCTTCCTGGGTGGCGGCTCGGCGGGAGGCCATTGGGTTACCGCAAACAGGGCTGAGCTGATTCCCTGCCACGCTTTCGATCTCTTCCCAGGCGTGCTGCCTCCCGGCACAGCCTCACGCCCGCGATCTGCAGGCCCCGAAGCTCTCAGAAGTGCTGTCTGTTCAGGGAGACGCAGCTGCTTTGCTGCGGAGCGGACCAGGCCCTAGGCGGCCTAGTAGCCGTGCTCCCGACTGCCACGGGATGTTCCTGGGCGTGTGGCTGAGGCTGACTGATCGTCCCTGCCGCCGCCAGCCCTTCCCCGTTCCCACGCCGCCCTTGGCGTTTGGCCGTCGTGCCGCGATCCCAGAGCCCTTTGCCCTTTGCGATTTGGTCGGCATGTCTCCGATTTCACGCCCGTTAGCGAGCGAGTCGGCAAAACCCTGGAGCATGCAAACAAAAAAAGGCCAAAACCTCCCCAGACAAATCTGAAAAAGAGCAAGCGCGGAAGAGCTCAGAGCGGCCCCAGGCGGGGTGGCTGAGGGGTGGAGATGGGGCGTGGAAAAGGTCCAGCTCTCTGGAATGCCACACCCATGGGTGCGCCGCTGCCCTGCGGGCGCTAACGAGAAGGGCGACTGAGAGGGAGGGCGGGAGGTTCGTGACCCGCTGCCTGGCCAGGGATGACCCCAAAGCGCTCGGGAGGGCGTGGCCTGTTTGGGGTCGGCAGACAGAGGCTCGGCTGCAAGCTGGGGGGCTGGGGGCTTCCTGCGGGAGCCCCCCTCTGCCGGGACGTCCCAGCTCTCCTTTGGCTGGGTTAGTTACACCTGAGATAAAAAGGCTCCTCCCCCCGCGAGCCCCACCCAGAGAGCGTCAACGTCTCTGTTTTCACAGCTCACCCGTCAATAGGGCAGAGGTGGCTAACCCTGAGGGGCGTGTCTCTGTGAGGAGGGGGCGGAGCCCTGTCTTGGCCCCTCCCCTTGGGTAGCCACGGAGTTTCCTTGGAGAGAGCTGGCTACCGCTGTTCAGAGGGTGGCGAGTCTTACGGCCCCGTACCTCTAGCAGCACCGCGCCTCGCGCCCGGGCTATTCCCAGCCCCTGCGGCGGGCCAGAGCGGAGAAAGGGGGTGCTTTGCTCTCTCCATTCTCCTTCCCCTTGGCAGAGCTTCACCCGCGCTGGACACCTCAGACCCCGACCCTGATGGGGTCTGACAGCCCCTCTCCTGTCACCAAAGACCCGTACAACACCGAAGGCATCACCAGCACCCAGGCCGATACCGTCACCACCGTCCTGGGCAGCTCCCAGCCAGTGGTGAGCCGCGGCACTGCCGATAACCTCATCCCGGTCTACTGCTCCATCCTGGCCGCCGTGGTGGTGGGGCTGGGGGCCTACATCGCTTTCAAAAGGTAGGCAGGGCCCCGGGGGGCTCTGGAGACGGGGGGGGGGCAGCAGGCCCAGACTGAGCAATGGAGTGGGGGGCGCATGAGCTGTTTTCTCTCTCCGCCTGTCCTGCTTTTTCGTTAGCCGGCCCATTCCCCTGGCCGTGCTCGTAATCCCCAAACTTCCTGCTCCTGGCTCCCTCTCCCCCTCTGCTCGGTGTCCCCATCCGGCTCCCTTATTTTGAACCTCTAGCCCGCACTCCTTGATCCTTTAGTCATTATTTGTCCCAAGCAATCAGTTGAACATGGGTCCAGTGTCCCTCCCATAAGGTTGGGGAGGGGCTTTTAGAAGATTTCAAATAGGCCCTGCCCCTGATCGTAATCCCCAAACTTCCTGCTCCTGGCTCCCTCTCTCCGTTTCGCTGGGATTTGCACCTGGGGCCAATGCAGGCTGCAGCTGGCTCAGCGTTTGCTCCAAGGGCTGCGACGTTTCCACGTGCCCACACGCTGGAAATAATCCCTCGGCCCGGCCCTTGCTTGGGAGGAGGCTGAATTTGCTGCCCAGGAAGCTCCCCTTGACTTCGGATCCGCCCCCCCCCGCCCCTCCCCCGCGAGGCATTCCCTTAGGTCCCCCAAGCGTGTTCACACTGGCGCACCGCATGGGGCCACACATACTCCCCCGCCCGGCACTGAGTCACTGCATTCACATTCACTTGCATGTGCGCGCACACAGACCCCCGGGGCCATGCACTTTGCTTGGTGCAGTGATTCACGTGCACACCCCCACACGCCGGTTCACAGGAATTTCCATGTGCATGCCAAGCACATAAACACATGCCTTCACATGCGTGCGTGCCCAGCCGGACATGCATGGACAGGCGCCCGCAAAATCGCAGCTGGAGCATGGTTCACAATGTAGCCCTTTCATCCGACGGACACGCACGGGCATTACTAACGAGCAGCCAAGAGACTAAACCACAGAGCAACAGGCCTGCAAGGGAGCGTGCTTGCACACCCCCAGGACCAGCCTCAGCGTCCAAAGACAAGTAGAAAAGGAGGTTTCCATTCCACTCTCTCCAGGAAGCTGTTTCTTGCACCATGAGCACTTCACACAGTAGGTTTGCTTCTCAGATTACAACCCCCGTTAGCTATTTTGGTGGTAGACCCATTGCAAGTGAAAAGCAGGCAGCTAAAATTCACCTTTTTATCTTTTTGTCCTGCTACCACGGTGTGCCCCTCCCTGTACAGGGCTGGCGCTAGACGCGTCAGATGCAGGGGGGAGGACTCAGCTCCGCCCCCAAAGGGGTGGAGCCTTGGAAAAAGAGGCAGGACTAGGGGCTAGCCTGCTCCGGACACCCCCCAGCACCACTGACCAAACCATGCGGGGCTACAGCAGCAATTTAAAGGGTCTGGTTGCCGAGGTGGTGGCCTGAAGCCTCGGATCCTTTTTAAATTGCTGGGCCCTGAGTCAACTGTCCCTTTTGCCCCCCTCGGCCAGCAGGCCTGACCCCGTGCGTCCTGGTTCTGAACAAAGCAATCCGTGCCACGCCACAACGCCACACCCTCCCAGAGCTCCTGGCCCTTGATTTTGACCGGATTCATATTTGCCAGCGTTAAATGTCGTGTCTCGCTCTGTGGGATACTGGTGCTGCCCTTGACGTTAGTGGCCAAGTGTGAACCTAACACAGCTCCGCGTTAACGTTCGTCTCTAAGGGTACGTCTAGACTACATGGCTCCGTCAACGGAGCCATGTAGATTTGTTGTTTTGGCAAAGGCAAATGAAGCCGCGATTTAAATGATCGCGGCTTCATTTAAATTTACATGGCTGCCGCGCTGAGCCGACAAACAGCTGATCAGCTGTTTGTCTGCTCAGCACGCTAGTCTGGACGCTCCTCTGCCGACATCAAAGCCCTTTGTCGGCAGCCCCGGTAAACCTCATCCCACGAGGAAT